AGATTTAGGAATTAATCAGAAAAAGTATGTTTATATAAATAGTCTTTAACTTTTAATCGATAATAGGCAGGCCTACACAGTACAAACATTTGTTTATTTTGGTAGTTGCTATCTTTTTTATTTCATTTCTTAAAACATTAAAATAAAGAATTAAAATTACCTAAAAGTACCTAAAACATTACAAAAAGTATTTTTTTTTTATTCATCATTAATGCCATACTAATTGTTTCGTTTTATAAACTGTTAGTTGTAAATGTTCAGTTTCATATTTTTCATAATTTTTTTTTTTTAAATTCGAAGTACATATCTACGTTTTCTAATATTCCTAACCTTACGGGGATAGTAATGAGAGAGAAAAATTGAGCTTTATCCTGGACGAATCCTTTTCTAGCCACGTCACTGGCGGTATCCTTAAAGTATGTTCAATAATTTAACGTATATGTGTTTTTTTATTTTATTTTTCATGGTTTGTGTTCCTTCATTTTTTTTTGGTCAGCCATCTTTAAAAACTACTTATTTAAAATTTTATTAACACGAATAAAGGTAAGTTTTAAAAGTTTGTTCTGCTAATATAAAATTGTACATCCTTACGATAAAGTAGACGTTCAAAATATGTATATCAATAAGGGTTATTTTAGTTTGAACTATAGGTATGGGGAAATGTTTATTAAACGTTGGCTATAGTTATATTGGCAATAAGGACGATAGATAAGGTAATGACACATTTCTAGCATTGGTAAATATTTTTTTAATCTGTGGTAGATATACAAATGGCGGTTGTTATGTTTGTGTTGTCAATATAAAGGAGTTTTTTCTATCAAATGCAGGAAATTGGAAACAATTTCATGTTTTAAGTCGGTATGAAGAAAGAACGGACAGCTGATAATTGTCGTCCATTTAAATTATAAGTACTTTTTTAAATCTTCTTCTGTGATTAAAGGAATTCATTGTTTTCATAGGTTATGTTTCTTTACAGCCCATCAAATTTTAAGTTTAACCGGTATAAGTTTTGAGAGAAGGAGTATTATTGTAAGAATTTGTACTTAAAAAAGTGATTTTAAACTGTATTTTAATATTTTAGGGATTTGTTGAATTAACTATAGTCCCCTTAAAAGATAATTTACGAAACATAAAATTGAATGCAAAACAGTGTCGCATCTATAGAGTCGTGCTAAATGATACTTTTGAGGCACAATTTCAGTATTTTGATCCATTTCTAGATGTGTGTCAAGGTGATTCAGATACGTAAGGTATTATAATATAATGCTTTGAATATATATTGAACAATGTTTTACTTTTTAGGCGTTCTCTGGAAACTTTTTCCAATTTACACTTAACTGCCGCGTTAAAGACAGATCCTGACAATAATGCAGGTGAATTAGTGATCATTGTTCCCCCTGAAGCTGCACATTTGGTAGCTGAGGGCACTGCATTAAGAGTTGGCATTGAATTTTCTCTGGAACAACCACAAGGTGGAATACATTTTGTGGTACCACCAACTGAAGGAACCTATGCAGAAGTAAATGCATATTTTATTGTTTACATATGGGTATTTAATACTTCTATAGGATTACAATGTATTTTTACATTGTAATTTCTCTGGTTAAATGAATACTATTTGTACATTATTGAGATTAAAACAGGTATTTATAACCGTTCAAGTTCAAGTCAAAATTGGTGTATTTTTTGTTGTAGAGAGGAGTACATCTTTTTACTTATGGCAATACCAGTGCCTCAAGATTATGGTTTCCTTGTGTGGATAGCTTTGCAGAGCCATGCACTTGGAAGTTGGAATTTACTGTTGACGAATGTATGACGGCAATTTCAAATGGTGATCTAATTGAAGTAGTTTTCACCCCTGACATGAGAAGAAAAACATTTCATTATGTACTAAATGTACCTACATGTTCTCCTAATATTTCCCTTGCTGTTGGTCCCTTTGAGATTTATGTTGATCCGTTTATGCATGAAGTTACACATTTTTGCTTACCACAACTTCTACCATTACTTAAAGTAACTACAAGATATATGCATGAAGCCTTTGAATTTTATGAAGAAACTTTATCCAACAGATATCCATATTCTTGTTATAAACAAGTTTTTGTTGATGAAACGGCAGATGATTATCATGCATATGCTACAATGAGCATTTTGAGTACTAATTTATTGCATTCAGCTGTAATTATTGATCAGTGTTACATAACGAGGAAAATTATGGCACAGGCAATTGCTGAACAGTTCTTTGGATGCTTTATTTCAATGCAAAATTGCTCAGATATGTGGCTTCCTAAAGGAATTACCCAATACCTATGTGGGTTATATTGTAAAAAATGTTTTGGGAATAATGAATACAGAGAATGGATACAAAGTACTATGAGTGATCTTGTTAAGTATGAAGAGCAGTATGGAGGAATCATCTTAGGTGATAAAAATTCATAAAATCAATAGAATCTAAATAACATAAATTTTGTTTTAGATTCTAGTCAACGTCCAGCTCGTCTATCCATTGCAGGGAGCCAGCCAAATGAGGCACATTTTTATTTTAGTATTAAAAACTTGCATACCCTGTCGCCCCTGTACATTGAAGCAATGTACAAAAAGGCTCTACTAGTTATGAGAATGCTAGAGCACAGGATAGGACAAGAACTCCTTTTGCAAGTTTTTAATAAACAGTTATCCTTAGCCACAAACGCAGCATCTCAAAAGATAGGAAGTGGTCTGTGGGGACATATGCTAATTAGTACAAATGTTTTTGCAAAAGCAATTTTTACGGTCACTGGAAAAGATATGGCAGTGTTTATTGATCAGTGGGTCAGAACTGGAGGTCATGCCAAATTTCATTTAAGTTCTGTATTTAACAGAAAAAGGTAGGTGGATGACTCATTAAAAAAATTAAAAAATTTTTTATACTTTAAATAAGTTAAGTAAATACTGTGATAATGATTTCTAAGTTGAAATAATATACAATGTTACCTTGTATTATGTTTTTGAAATAGTTAAAAGGTTTTCTCTGAATTTTTTATTCAGGAATACTATAGAAGTAGAAATTAGACAAGACGCTACCACACAAACTGGCATTCGGAAGTACGTGGGACCTTTATTGGTGCAGTTGCAAGAATTAGATGGCACTTTCAAGCACACTTTACAAATAGAAAATACAGTTGTCAAAGCCGATATAACATGTCATTCAAAAAGTAGAAGAAATAAGAAGAAAAAAATTCCCTTGTGCACAGGCGAGGAAGTTGATATGGATTTAAGTCCTATGGAGTAAGTTTTTTTTAATGTAAATCACTTGTATTTCTGTTTTCGTTTGTTAACTGGCTTTTACATTGTTATAGTGACTCCCCTGTCCTATGGATTCGGTTAGATCCTGAAATGACTCTTTTGAGATATGTGGTAATCGAACAGCCAGATTTTCAATGGCAATTTCAGTTACGACATGAACGTGACGTGACAGCTCAAATAGAAGCAATAAATGCCTTAGAAAGATACCCTACTCCTGCAACAAGGCTTGCTCTGACAGATACCATAGAAAATGAACAGTGTTACTACAAAGTAAGATGTAAAGCTGCACATTGTCTTACAAAGGTATAACGAATTCAATTTGTAAAACAAATACGATTTTTTTGAACAAAAACCATTTTTGTTTTAGGTTGCTAATGCAATGGTGTCGAATTGGGCTGGCCCTCCTGCAATGTTAGCAATTTTCAGAAAACTTTTTGGCTCTTTTGCTGCACCCCACATAATCCGTCAGAATAGTTTTACAAACTTTCAACATTATTTTCTACAGAAAACTATACCTTTGGCTATGGCAGGTCTTCGAAACAGTCATGGCATTTGCCCTCCTGAAGTGATAAGATTTCTCTTAGATCTCTTTAAATACAATGATAATTCAAAAAATAGATATTCGGACAATTATTACAGAGCCGCCCTTGTGGAAGCTTTAGGCTGTACGGTGACTCCAGTAGTATCAGTAGTCCAACAAGGAATGTTTGAAAATCTCAGTGCTGAAACTAAACTAATTTTGGAAGAAATAACGAGAATGCTTAACTTGGAAAAATCATTGCCTTGTTATAAATATACCGTCACGTGTGCCTGCTTGAAAGCTATTAGAAAATTGCAAAAGTATGGCCACTTACCAAGCAGTCCTAGTTTGTTTAAGAGTTATGCACAGTATGGAATATTTATAGGTAAGTTTTATTGAAAAGTTTGAAAAAACATTCGTAATACAAATTTATCCTTATTCATTCAGTTATTAATTAACCAAGATTTAATTAATCAGATAAATGTTTATTCATAAGCTTTATTTTTATTTCAGATGTGAGATTAGCTGCTTTAGAGTGCCTGGTGGATTTTGTTAAAGCAGATGGGCGTTTGCAAGATCTTCAACATTTGATAGACTTCGTCGAAAATGATCCAGATCCTGGCCTAAAGCATAAACTTGTGAGAATGTTAATTATGAACCCTCCTTTCGAAAGAGCTCATCGTCACCGTTTGGACGTCCCTCAAATTGTCGACAGAATATGGAACAATTTCAAGTTAATAATATTCTTTTTACCGTACTTATCTTATTATCATTATTTTCTTTTCAGTTGTATGTTATCTCATGACAGCAGACTTCGTTGTGACTTAGTAGATTTATATTATATATTATATGGAATAAGACGTCCACTGTGTTTACCAATAAAAGAAGTAGAAGGTCTTTTGAAACCACAAAAACAACAGCAATGCAGTTCAGAAAACAAAAAGGTCAAAACATCACATTCAGTAAACCAAAACTCAAGTATTCCATTAGATTTGAAAACCAACCCTCCTCCATTAGTGTCCACTGCTGCTTCTACTACAACAGGCACAAAAGAAGGTCACACTGATATCATAATTGAGGATCCACTTGAATGTATAAATGTAGAAGTTATTGCAGGAACTGGAGAAAAAGAAAAGGTACTCCTCATATACAGACTTTTATTAATTGAATTAATTTTTTTGTGTCTTAGGAAGAGCATACTGACATAAAATCTGAAGTGATAGAGGTTAAAGAAGAACCACTCATAAAACAAGAATTTTATTCTGATAATTCAGTATCGTTGCCTGGGATGAGCCAACCTGGTCCTGTGGGATTTGAACCGGGAATGTTTAAAAGTGATTCAGATGGAAAAGTAAAATTAGACCCTTCAGGAAAGGTGCAACAACAATATTCTTTGTTTCTTTTGTAATTTTCAGAGTTTTAACGCTCTGAATGTTTTAGATTAAAAAGAAGAAAAAAGATAANAAAATTTGGTTAAATATTTAGAATGCAAGTCTAAAAATCATTCATATTAATGAATCCTTTGTCGAAGCAATTAATAATAGAAAAACAATTATAGGCAAATGCGATTAGGACTCTTCCAATGGGAGGAATCAACTGCTTGTAGCTACTAATTATTTACATAATTTTACGCCACATTTTTTTTTTTGATGGTAGAAGAAATAATGGATAATATCCAGTTCTGCATCAAAGATAAAGGAATTAAATTCGTCACAAACTAATTTCAAATAAAATTAAAAATTAACTGTTTTTCCATGCTAAGAGACCTACTTTCGTTCCTAATTTCAAGATTCTGCGTCAGTAGGTCCATAGACGGATAATAAACTGAATCCATACAGGATTCCGTATTTCAATTTTGGGGTACGGAACCGTAAAAGGTTTTATCAAGGCTATTGAAAAAAATAGTTAATTGATCATCATCATAAGGTCGTCAGTCCTAAGACTGGTTGGACACGCATCTTTGCATTTCCCTAAAACTACATCATTAACTATTTGAACAGTAATCTAATTTAGGTCTATCACTACCCCTCCTAACTTCCACTTCTGTCTCTTAATATGTCTCTGACTAGACCTTCATGCCTGAGAAGGTGTCCTACCAGCCTATCTCGCCTATTTCTTATTGACTTCCATAGAATACTCTGTTCTCCTATTCTTTCTAACACCTCTTCATTTCTAACCTTCTCTATCCACGGTATCGTCATAATTCACCGGTAACACCACAATTCGAACGCTTCTAACCTTTCTTTCCGCCACGCTTACAGTCCATGTTTCGCACCCGTACAGCGTCAGAAGCTCCAAACAGACACCTTTAACAACCTTTTTCGAATTTCTAAATTAACCGTTCGCGAGCATAGAAGTGACTTCTTTTTATTGAAGGCGACTCGACCCTGCGTTATATCCCTACTACTCCTTGCATCCTGACTTATCTAACTTCGTATATACCTAAAATAGTTTAAATTATTGTAATAAAAATTTGTTTTCGAATCGCTGGTGCATTTTCATGGTACGGTCCATTGCGGACGCCTAAAGAAAGAAACAGTATGCAAGGCACGCTTCTTGCACGGACTGGGCGCACAAGTCGGCGTCTGCCTACCTGCTTGGCATGCTTTATTTTTAAAATTTGAAGGATTTTAAAAGGAAGAGCGAACAAGTCTCGAACAGGTGTATTATTCAAACCGAACATCAAGATTATGCGAAATATTTCGAAAATCTGTTTAGTACACGAAAGACACATCAAGTTTGTTGATGTGATGCTCGGTTAGTTGTACGAAACTTATTTTTTAATTAAAGTTTTATTAAATTTCAGCGAGTTTCTCTAGTCTTTGAAAAGCTTCAATGAAAATTATCATGTTTTTCTCGTAAAAAAGAACGTGGAAAACTTTTCCTTCACTAAACCTTTTATAATATAATAAAAACTTAAAAATTCAAAATGAGTTAAATGTATAAATGGAATACTTCTGGTGGGTTAAGATCGCCCTTTACATTGTAAAAGTTTACGGTCTCTATACGAAGTTACAGCAAATTGCACAAAAATGTCCAAGAGTTCCAGGCAAAGCTTTTTTGACGGTTTCAATGTACCTAGATATAACATACATTTTTCGTGTATTTAAAAAAGTAAAATAAATAAATATTTATTCGCGAATAGTTATCTCTCATTTCCGAGAAAACCAGAAGCATTATAGGTATAAATGTTAAGCTAAATATTGGAAGTACAATTGAATACAAAATAATAACGGTTAAATAAAAGATTTACATTTTTAGCCGTTATTTATCATAGAAATTGATGTTCGTTTATTTGATTGGAAGATTCTACTGCAGCTTTAGATCTCAATATTCCTTGAAACAGTCTTTCATAAATTGCTTAATTACATTTTTCGTGTAGGTATNTCGAAGGTTGCTCATTGTTGAAATTAAGCAAATACGTGTTTCGGCAATTTTTAAAAATCAACCCTTAAGGATGAAATGTCGTTGCTACGTTTGTATTTAAGATCTAACATGGCGACATTACATAAAATTAAAACGTTGTAAAGGTGAATTGGGAGTTAAAAGGATTTATAGAGAAACAATATTAATTTCTGCGAGCAAAGCCGGGGCAAAAATCTAGTTATGTATATAATCTAATGGGATTGTACCATGTATAAAATAAATAGATACTATTTGACAGATATTAATAAATGCATGTACGTGTTTTTCAGGTATGTTTCCTACTTTCTTCTAATTTACTGGACACACTTAGTTGCTTCTCTGTGTTATTCATTATACATTATACATACAGTGAGCCAACAGAACGATAATAGTATCAAGAAAGTTTCTTGACGAGTTAACAAGCGTTTTTATTAACTTCATCGTAAACTCTGTCTTAAGGAACGTTAATCGGACATTCTACTATCTCATTCCATAATAAAAATGATAAAAGCTTTTGTAATGTTCGCAGTAACTGAAGCAAAACGAAACGGGTTTAAAGCTTAGAGTTGACTTAAGCAGCCGAGCGAGTTATTTATATACGAAGCCTTTATGAAACTGTAAATAAATTAGTATGAATAATAGCGCCGAGGATACGCTTCTAGAACTATAACAATAGCACTTAGTTAAAAATTAAAAGTTCTTCTATTATCGTTCTCAAAATCCTGTAAGACGTTTAAAATCCCGAGTACGAGAACTTCTTTTTTAAAAGTGGAGGGTTTGGCCAACTTATGTTGTTCTTAATGTTGAGTTAATGTAGTGATCTACCATTTTACGAATTCTTAGGTCCAGGATGCTAGAGCCGCCAGACATTACTTATTTTTTGAATAACAAAATTGGTGGGATATAATATTGTTAGTATGTAATTTGACCGTATGTATACCTCGTAAGTTTGTAAACATATTACACGCTTTTCTTAAAGTCGGAGTGCTGATTTTTACATGTTACACAGAATATCGTTAAAAATTAATAATCAACACTGCCAGACGCTTCACACCGATAGTAATTTGCGCCAGACGCTTCAAAGTTCGCAAAAAAATTGTAATTTTACTTATACTGTAAGTCTTCATTTTTCAATATGATACACAGGAAATTATTTCAATAATTTTTGTAAGCACCAATTGTAAGGGCGAAACTCAATTAAAATGTTGCTGTTTTATAAAATCACCTTAATTATCGCGCTTGTGGTGTTCGGCCGGATCCTAAAAAAGGTACCGAATCCAGACCGGGTTAAAAGGTTGTGGTAGGAAAAGACAGCACGAACGAAGTGAGTGAACAATTTTTCAATAGGTAGGTACAATGGGAAATGACATATTTTGAAGGTGTTTAAAACAACGCCACGTTGAATTTGCCTTCTTCTTTTCAGGCAGTATTTGAATTTTATTTTAAGCGACCGCAAATATAAAACGTTAAATATTTTAATGCATTCTTCTTGAATTTTTATGTTAACATTTCTGTCAAATTATTCACATAATATAATTCACACATATTAACTTGTTTGTCTCAAATCCCGGAATCTAACCGTTGTGGGCTTCCTTGTTGTAGAACAATAACAATAAATAACAGCTTTGTTTAAATCATCCTTTTATAATAGTTATTTAAGTTAATAAGTAAAGTTAGAAATGGAATTGTAAACAAGTTAAGTACGACTAAATGGGATAATTAAATCAATACTGAGTAAGAAGACCTTGACAGGACAATAACTGGGTGTGCTGCGAAATAAGCTCATAAATAAAAAAATCGATGTTTTCTAGGTCCCTTAATTTATATTTACACATTTATTAGATACGAATTCTTAAAGCAGTACAAATTATTTAGTTTTCACTTTCGAAACAATCTCCTCTGAGTTATTTTTCTTATTACGTTAATTGATTTATAAAAAATGAGTAAGAAGTCTTAAGGTTATCACTTTCTGATTTTGTTTTCAATGTTTGAAGGCATTTTTATAAAAATTAGATAAACGATACATTTTTCATTCAATTTTATTGAAAGAAAATTAAAAATTTTCATTATAAATGATTCGAAAGTTGATATCAATATAAAGTGATCTCTTGAAACTGATTAATTAATTTTAATGATAAGAAGTGTATTACACAATAGTACTTAGACCATGATAATGCATAAAATAACCTTATACTACCCACAGAATTTTTAATGATGTCAGTCAGTTTTAAGTTGTGCTCACCTTAAGCCGGAAAATGTAAATTCTGTCTTTTTCAGTGTAAATTCCGTCTCAACGATTTTTATTACCATACATAAATTCTGTCCTGTTTAAAAATATTGTAAACCCTATAGTAATATTTAAAGTCTCTATTATAGCAAAAAATTAAATTAGAATCATTGGTAAGTCGATATTTTTCGAAGAAAAGCTGCCTCCTCATATACATATTTTTTTAGATAATCACAAAAATCATTCACTCGTCGGTCTTCCAGAAAAAGTGCCATTAAATAAACACTGAAAACACGAACGACATCGTCAGGTCTGGGATACGAGAGTCCAAAAAAACATTTAATAAAACTTGCTACCTCTGTTTTTTGTTCTATATTCAGTGGAAAGACAGAGAGATTGAATTTTTCGATAACAGGCTTGACCTAAATCAAAACGGCAACCTTTTATCTTTGATTTAATCAAAACAGATTACATTGCTTTACGAATTACTTTCACGAAATCCACAAAAATATTTTGTGGTTATTAAACTGATCCTAGTTTTGTACAATCGCCGACGACATATTTGAATCATTTAATATAGGTTTCTGAAGCTGTATCAAGTAGTAAAATAAAATACGAAAGGCACATATGAATCTTGTTGCAATGCGTGAAAAGTAGATATTTAGTCAAAATGTTTGGGACAACTTTTAAAGGAAATATCTATGTACGACAACGTACTACTACACCCTGAGGTATAGGAGGTATAGATATAGGTATATCGGAAGGAATTTACGAACTTTTAGAAGGTCATTAATGCATTTCAGCTGGAATTTACACCAACTCCATTAAACAACAGTTAACATGTTTTCGTGAATATGAGGGAATGAAGAAGAAAAGGGCAAAAAAAACAGAAAAAGTAGACAAAAATATATCAGACAGAAAAACTGAAGGGGAATATTTCTCGTTAGATAAGGAATTGTTACATGATGAAAAGTTCGACGGTCGTTTATTTCTATAACCGAAAATTTAGTTTGTTCGTAATATACGGCGTTGTAACTGCTACATTCTAGGGGGATTCTATTATACGTAATTCAAATTATTGCGATTGTAATCAACTATGCTTATATTTAAATTAATCAATCAAAAGGTGAGCATATTGTTTATCCGGGAAATACACTGACGAATGACAAATTTTAAAACGAACGAAATAACCGGTCCAAATTTCTTTTAATCTGTATAATTGCTAAGGAAGAATTTAATTGTTTCACAGAAAACACTTTCTGATTGCAAAATTATTACATTACATTTATTATTATTAAGCAACATTAATTATTGGACGATTTAAACAAGAATTAATTGAAAGAATGCAAATTAGATTACAACAGATTTAACTGCAACGATTTTCTTATTGTGCTAGAAAAACTTAAATGAATAGGTATTTCAAATAACAATACATTTTAACGACTTTTAAAAGTTAAAAATAAAATACCTGCAAGAGAGACAATAAAATCAATAAAATTTCAAAGCAAATACAATAAAAAGCATCATATTCTTTCTCTTAAGTTTGGAAAGGGTAAAAATCTTTAATTTTTTTATGGTTGTGTTTACAAAATGGTTTGTGATTTTTCAAATCTTGTTTTTTGGTGCATATTTTCATTGTATTTCATATTTTATTTAATTTAATCATCTTTTCTTTAATTAATATTTTGTTTTGTTCATTTGTGCAGATCATCCAACAAATGAGAGAGAATTAAAGTTCAGGTTCATGGTACTGAAACAATCGAAATCTACGATGGTGTTGTGTTTGGTGGACTACATTCTTAATTTGCTGTTTTGTCTTGACCTTGCAACATTATGCAGTTAATTTTCAACCGATGAGTGAAAGCAACTGAAGATTTATGTGAATTCCACTGAAATAAGAAATTTTCTGCATTGGCATTCCTGTTGGATTTGATTTGCTCTTCACACCTGCATACTTTGGAACATTACGGTCTACAGTTAATTAAGGTGAGAATACTTGATATTATTAATTTTAATTGCTCCTTATTAATCTGTTACCACCGTATCTGTTTCAGGTCGACGTTGGAGAAGACAAAGATGACCCCGTAGTTAAAATAGTTCTCTATCTTGCATGCTCTATCTAGTAGAATTCATTAAGTTCATTTTATTCAAATTAATTTTTTATTTTGCATGAATATTTTTGTTCATTTTATTTGAAGTAATTGTTGATTGTAGATGTTTTTTTTTTTGTATGTAGTAGTAGAAATAACACGTTTAGTAGTTGTAGTATAGTTTAACCTTGCTTACCTCTTCGCTTAGCTTACTGCATATTCTTACTATAAATTGCTTTGCATTTACCCTACGAGTTCTACATGATTCAACGTTTCGTTATCGTGTGTGTTTCTTCTCACCCTTGTGGAATTAGGGAGGGCCTCCCCGAACGACTTCCCTTGGGCTTAGCTATTTAGTTGATCTTAAAAGTGTCTTATACACTTTTCGCGAGTCTACTCTAGCGTTACTTCC